CCTCAGACTGCCCCCCATCTTCCTCCACTCCAGATCCAAGCTTTTTCTCATCATTCTTGAACAAAACAGAACTATGGGATGATGCATGCTGCCACCGTGGACACATCTAAACATCCCATCCTGTTGGGAAATCATTAGGAAAAAATAACCCAACCTTGTCTCTCAGCACCGCCTCCCTCCCCTCCAGCATCCCAACAGACATGGGACTCATTCTAAAGCCCTGCCTGGACATCACACATACCTGGTGTGATTTTGATTGATAAGAGGATTATGAGCTGCACTCAAGAGATGCTACTCAGAAATCCCACTCAAGTCCTTTGCATAAAATATGTGTGTGTGTGTGTGTGTGTGTGTGTGTGTGTGTGTGTGTGTATGCATTCAAACAAGTGGGAAAGTAAGTGGATATTGTGGTGTAAGCCCTCCTTACTCTCCCCCATTCCAGACCACATCTTGCTAATGTGGACATCTGACCCCAGAAATTCCTTCCCTGATTCAGAGGAAGGTAAGTGAAGGTTTCAACCCAGTTTTTGAGACCCATGGAACCAGCTCTCCCCACCCCAGGGCAAGTGGCCCTGAGGTGCAACGGAAGCACATGGGGCTTCAGGGGCCGCAGGCCTGGCGAGCCTCTAGCTCTGCCATCCGCTTGTTCACCCCAGATTTGCAATAGATACAAGTGAAATGAGTGAACGTGGCAAGTCCATTAAACTGAACGTTAGTTTCCTCTGCTATAAACATGCAAATGGGAGAATCTCTGCTCTTCCCCACATAGCTGTTGTGGAGAGCAAACAAGATCATGTAGAGTGAAAACAAGTCACACAGGCAGGGTTGATTCCTACTCTGCCTCATCCTAACTGTGCAACCTCTTTGCCCCTCAGTTTCCTCATCCACAAAATGGGAGTAGTAATGAAACCTTCCTCCCAGGGGTGGGAGCTCAGCACTTGGCACATTAGTGATGCAATACATTATTTTTGTTCTGCTTATAAAAGTGCTTTGAAAACTACAAAATGCTTTGCAAATATGAATTACTATTTTTCGGTCCAGGAATCCCATTTCAAAGAAAAATGTGTTTTCCTGAGAAAGTATTCATACAACAAACAACAATAACAATAATCATAATAATTATCTTTATCGAGTGTCTATTATATGCCAGGCACTGTGTTGGCAACTATACACATATCATCTCATGAGAGCTATGGGTTTCATTGCTTTCATTTTATAGAAGAGGAAACAGAGGCACAGAGAGGTTAAATTACTTCCCCCGGAGTCATAGAACTAGGAAGCAGAGCAGCTAGGATTTTAAAGACCAAGGTCCAATCTTCTCTTCTGAATGCAATACCTTCAGAGATTTGGCCTTTGCATCCTGAGCAGGCCTTGTTGTTGGAAGAGCTCTCCCAGCCCAAGTTGGGGGGCGGAGTGCTTTGTAGAACCAAGCCCCCACTCCTTCCTCCACACTAGGCCTCAGGTTCAAGATTCTGATCCAGTCTGGCCTCCCCTGGAGCACTATGTCTCATCAGCTCTTATGTAACTCCTGTAACTCGGTGTTCCCACCCCCACCCGTACGGTTTATATAAGACAGCTCAGTAAACATACTGTGGGCCATCAGGGCTTGGGGAGAACTGAGATGGGCTACATGTGTGATCTCACCCTCCACCTCTTCCGGGGACCCCATTCACGCTTGCTGTCTCCCTCCTTGAGACTTGAGCTCATCTTTGTGTGCACCTGCATGGACAGACACTCATGCCCGAGTGCCCCTGAGTGTGCCAGGGTGTGCGTACATGTATACGTGGTTGTACTAGCCATGGGATGGAGGGCACAAACATGCATGTTAGTATACAGACTTGTCTTCATTGTCCTTTTTCTTTTTTACACTGAGAAAATTCGGCAAAGCTTTCCACTAAGGCTTTCTTTTTTCAGCAAATTCAGGAAACTTAACTCTTGAATCTCCTCCTCTCAGTCCAGTCACAATTAGCAGCTGATCCATTTTATTAGAAGTTCTCATAGTGTTTTCTACAACCTGGTCAGCTAGAAAAGTGTCTAAGTCCCTGCTCCTCCTGATATTTTCCAGGGGTTTGGGGTTTTACCTGAACACCTACAACCGTCTGAGCTGCATTCTCCAGGCCACTGGATCAGCCCAGGCTCCAGATACCCATGCTACACGAAGCCAGATACCCAGGTTGCCCAAATCATTAAAAGCTTCTCTCTCCATATCAGGCTGAGCCACACGCAAGTCACATCAAACCATCAATAATAGAGCCTTCTTCACATTGAGAGTTTTGCCCCACAGACACTTTATAAGTAGTCTCTGGCCCTTGGCCTTTACTGGCCTGATCTGTCTAACTGATGGAACTCTCCCCGGTCTGAGACTGGGGTGGGATTCTAACTACACAGGTAGGCTCAAGAGCTAGGAAGATTCTAGATCCTTCATAGTCAGTGACCATTTACGCTTTTGTTGAGATACTCTTCTCTTTCCTCTAACGTAACTATTGCTGAAGACACGAGATGCTGTTCCCTTTGCTTCTCTTCCCATAACCAAGTGAGGCTCAGCCATCTTCCTTCTCATTAACCTTCACTCTCAAGAGAGGAGAGGGAAAAATCCATTAGAGCTCTCCCCTCAAAATCTTCCAGGCACCCAGGTGCCAGAGTGGGATTGGCACTAGGGCCAAGAGGATATCTGTAGGCAGACTACAAAGCCCAGCTATCTCTCTCCCACGCCCCAGTTTCAGCTCTTCCCCTGGCCAGACACTTGCAGACAGCAGAGCCAGCCACTCCCCCTTGGCCAGTAAGCACCAAGGTTCTTACTACTCATCACTGCTTTAAGGAAATTTGGCACATCCAAGAGATGCCAGGATTCTACGCAGCAGGGGACATCTTACAATGGGAGGTTCCAAATCCTGAACACAGGCAGCATTGGAGGTTATTATCCCCATTTTAAAGGTACTGGATCCTGGCACCACAAAGTCCTCTCCCAAGCTCACCTAGTCCCTCCCTTCAGCCAAGAGCACTTTAGAATCTACTCACCTTCCTTCTACAAGGGTGGGGTCAAAACAAGCCCTGAGATGGGGCTTTGGGCTGTATAATTTAATTTTTAACTAGATCTAGTTCTCCCCAATTTAAATTTTATCTGTTCACCCCCCTGATGTATTAATTTTGCTGTTTTCCCTTTTTGGACTTAATGTTTTTTGTGGTGGTGTTGTTGTTTGGGTTTTGTTTTTTGTTTTTATCTCACTGAATAGGTTAAAATTTCCGGGATTTAATTAATCTCACCAGCTGGCCGGCCATCCTGCAGGACTTGTGGCTCCGCGACAGGCTGCCAGTGGAGGAAACGGTTCCTTTTCTCCTCTTCCTAGTGGGGATTCAGGAGCCCCGAACCTGCCCCGACGGCCACCAGTCCCGCGGCCAGGCGTCCGGTGACAGGCTTAAAGTGCTTGCCGCTAGGGTACACACCGCCCACCCTCCCCGCTCCCCTGCCGACACACACTCCAATACACACCCCGCAGAGGCTTGGATGGGAAGGGGCCAGAAGCCCGACGGCTGCGGTTTTATTACAAGATTCCTTTTCAAACGCAAAATCAGGCCAAAAAGCCCGGCTACTCTGACTCGTCA